TTTTTTTTTTTTTTTTTTTTTTTTTTGTCAGTGTTTTTGGTAGCCTAGGCTGGGTTTAAACTCCCTATGCAGCTAAAGATGACCTTGAACTTCTGATCCTCCTGCCTGTGGTCTAGAGGAGTGTGGGATTATAAGTGTGCACCACCTCCTTTTATGCCAGGTGTTGACGAGTCTAGCCCAGTGCTCACTGCCCCTCCTTCTCTTGGATACCGGCAGGGAGTGCAAAAGCATGATCTAAGGGCAAACCGTGAGAACACCCTATCCCCACTCCCTTTCACTGAGGCCAGATGGACCCTAAGGGTGGAAGGAATGGAATAGGCACTGCAGAATAAGAAGATGGCGCCACCAACGGTGCTGGTGACGGCAGCAGGCACAATGCTTCCTTCCACCTAGTCCAGGCACACCTGCCTTCATCTTGGAGCCATGGGTCTCTACCGGACCAGACCTCTTCATGCAAAGCTAAAACCCTTTCTCCTGAGCCCCAAACAGGAGAGGGAATGGATATCCCTGTAACAAGGAAAGAAACTTTGGAGGGGGGGGGGGGTCTGAACCACGTGCAACCAACCAGGAAAGGTGGAGGTCAACCAGGAAAGATTGGAGAGTCCTTGGCAAAAGAGCTGAAGCCCACAGTATACCCAGTGCCGTTGGGCATTACAAGTCCTCAGAAGCTTGGTTAATGGCATGGCCTGAGAAAAAGCAACACTCTTGATTTAACTCAGACCTAGGCAAAAGAGAATAGAGAGTCTGCCTATTGGGGCAAGATCTTACTTTCCAGTCCTTGCTTGCCTGGAAGGCCAGGCTGGTGCCCAACCTACAGTCATCCCTTGCTCCAATCTCTCAAGCACTGGACTTAACAACTGCGAGCCACCAGCCTAGCCTGATCATAAATACTACGAGAGGGAAAAAAATGTTTGCTGTAACCTTTGTGAACTCATGTTACTTTCTCTTAAATATGAAAGCACATGGAGCTCTTATTTCCAGTCTGTCAGAATTCACCTCTGGCTTTCTCATCAGCACGACTTTGCCAGTGTGCAGAAACTGCGCCTGGGGAGCCACCCTTCGGTAGCTAACTTTGTCTCCTCACCTTCTTTTTCCCATTTCGCAGCAGTGTCTCACTCTGTCACTCAGGATGGACTAGAATTCATGGCGAGCCTCCTGCCCCAGCTAGAACTGCACGTGTGAGCCACATCTGCCTTTGTCTTTCCTGCCCTGTAAAAAAAAATTATTGTAATTTCCAGTGTGTATGCATGTGGTGCTGGGGCTCCAGCCCAGGTCCCCAGGCTTGCAGGGCTGCTGAACAATCATGCCAACGCTGTCTCCCTTCAGTTCCCAGTCGCCACCGCTCTGCTTTTTCTGGTTATGCTTCTTTACTTACCACGTGTAAACGGAGTTAAACATTATTTGTCCTTTGCTTCACTAAGCCTTTTTTTTTTCAACATTCGTCTATACTATGACAATTCAGAATTTCCTCTTTTTAGTGACGTGCATGCATGTGTGTGTGTGGCATGCCCGCGCCACTGCATAGGCCAGGAGAGGATGAGGGTGTCCTGCTCGGTCACTCTCCACTTTTACTGAACTGGGGGCATTTTTTTTCTCCTAGACTAGTTGGTCATCAAGCCCTAGTGACTCTCTCATCTCTCGCCCCACTATACCCCACTCCAGTGCTAGGCAGCTATGCCTGGCTTTCTATCTCAGTGCTTTGGATCTGAGCTCAGGTCTTCACATTTGTGCGGCAAGCGTTCTTACCCCCTGAGCCATCTCCCTAGCCCTTCATTCCTTGGTTTGAGACAGGGTCCCACTATGTGTTCCTGGCTGTCCTGGAACTCATTATGTAGACCAGGATAGCCTTGTACTCACTGGGATCCACCGAACTCTGCTCTCCACGTGCTGGAGCTAAAGGTGTGCAGCACCCCACGCGGCCCTTTATTCGTTTTTAAAGGCTGAATAATCAATAGTCCGTATTTCATTTAGTCATCTGTCACTAATAGACACTGTGCTGTTTTCACCTTTTGCTTGTTGGGGATAATGTTACTATGAATATGGGTATATTCACAACCATTTAAGCCTCTACTTTCAGTCCGTTGGGGACATATAGTCAGAGATGACATTGCTGGATCATATAGCAATTCTATGTTAACTTTCTGAGGAGCCGCCACTCCCACCGTGGGGAACCAGTCACACCCCCATCAGCACTGCACAGGGGCTCCCATTTCCCCACATCATTTCCCCTTCTGCTGGTGACAGTCACCCCAGTGGATAATTAGTGCTATCTTACTGTGGTTTTCATTTGTAGTTCCCTAGTGACTGAGGCTGAACATTTAATGAGAGCATGCTTCTTGGCCATTCGCACATCATCCTCACAGAAGTATCTATTAGAGTCTCTTTATATTTTCAAAATTTAAAAGGGGCTTAGCGGTTAAGAGCATTGGGCTGCTCTTCCAAAGGACCCTGGTTCAATTCCCAGCGCGTACATGGCAGCTCACAACTCAAGTTCCAGTGGATCGGACTCCCTCACACAGACATACACACAGGCCAAAATACCAACACATGTTAATAAATAATTTAACATTTAAAGATTTTTTATTTGAATGTGTATGTATGCACACGCACGTGGGCACCCTTGTAGATCAGAAGAGGGCATTGGATCCCTCAGAGCTGGAGTTGGGAGTGGCTGTGAGCCACCCTATGTGGTTACTGGGAACTGAGATCAGATCCCTCTGGAAGAGCAGCAAGTGCTCTTAGCTGCGTAGCCATCTCTCCAGCACTGGGTTTTTGTTTATTTTTATTTTGTGTGGTGGGCATGTCATTCACGACACATGCATGGTGACCAGAGGACAGCCTGGAGGAGTCAGTTTGCCCTTTGTAGGTTGCCAGGCTCGGGGGCAAGTGCTTTACACACCGAGCCATTGTGCCAGCACCAAAGTATTACCTGTGTCAACACCATCTAGGTGGCTGCCAGATTCGCCTGTCCCAAGGAGCAAGGGATGAACCTGGGACCTCATCTAAGCCAGTCCAGTGTTCTGCCCATTGCGCTGCTTCCCCCAGCCTGGGCTTCATATTTTAAAAAGCAGGCTGTCAGGCAGAAGTTTGGAATAATTTTTAGTTCTGAAATCTTAAGAGGGTCGTGTTTTCCTTTGGTTGTGTGAATTGTGATACATGTGCAGGGGTCTGAGGACAACTTCGTCCACTCTTTCCTTTTCCTTTCACTAGGCATTGGGGATCGAACTCAGATCCTTGGGCTTGGCAGTTCCTTTGCAGACTCAGCCAGCCCGCAGGGTCCACCATAGTATTAAAATGGAATTCAAAATTAGACTGGAGGAAAGCTGAGCAAGCAACTGGAAAAGCCAGCGGGCCACGGTTTCTCGGGAAGAATAAAAGACCACCGAGGGCAAAGATCTGAGAAACAAAGAAGCAGGAGCTTTCACGACCACAGGACCAAGCAACTCATAAGGCAGGAACTGGTGGCACAGAAGCCTGGGGTATGCTGCAAGGTCAGTTTACAAGCAGGTCTTGGGCCCCACAACCTTGAAGTGAAGCTGCTGGAGATAGCAGTGAACTCTTTAGAGGAATCCCTGAGAACACAAAGCCCTGGAAGACGGAGGGGTGGGTGCACACCTGTGAATTCTCTCACCGAACATCGGGATTGTGAGTTACTTCGTGACTGACCAGCCCCAGGCCTTTTAGGGGCACATAAAACCAAGACAGGTATGTTTGAAAGGGACTGTTCCCGCGCTGCCATTCAGAAAAGGTTTGTAAACTAGTTTAAAAACCAGTAGGACTATAAAACAATCATAGAAACCCCACATTGCCGGTCTTGCGGGCGGCATCTGGGTGTGCACTTTAGCAAACAGGTCGAGATAAAGTGCTCAGCGCTGGGTTCAAGGACTCAGAGGCCTCACGCGGCCCACGTCCGCTATAAATTTCTCCGGTCCGTAGGCCACACCGCTAGAAGTGGTTTTCTGAATGGCGGTCCCTGTGACCTTCAAAGTTGTGACATTAGACCCCCTTTTCTCGAACGTACAACCCAACACCTCAATTCAAACGCTAGCACCCCAAAAGATAGAAAAACAATTGCACCCAAGGGCTCTGCTCAGCGTCACAGGGTTCCTTAGAAGCCGCGCGCCTAAAGTCTTGGGAGGCCCTGGGCGCAAAGAGCTGGCTCCCTTCCGGGGATAGCGCTCGGATGTCGCGGGTCATGGCCAAGGAATCCAGCCCAGATGTTGTCTAGGCTCTCGCGGCCGCAGTGCCCCATCCTCGTTGGGAGTCCAGATTCCAACCGCAGAACACCGAGACACTTGTGGACTCGTGAAAGGGCACCGCGCAAAGCGACCCTCGGGACCCCAAGGCCTCAGAGAGGCTGGGGATCCGACCCAAGGGAAGGCTTTCAAAACAGCTCCAGCGACATCCTGACAGCAGAAAGACAAAATTTTTAAATGTGTAAAAACATTTGGCTTCTCGTAGCGAACACACCGCGACAAGTTCCAGTACACAGATCGGTCTCCGCGCGCACCCGCAGCCGGCACGGTCTCCCGGATCTGGGATCGGGGAACGCAAGTGCCCCCTGTGGCCGGCCCGCGCCTGACCTCGCGGGCCTGGGACGGCACCGGTGGCCTGCACAGGGCCCAAGAGGAAGTTGGAGCCTCGGGGCCGAGTAGAGGGCAGGTCAGCTGCGCGGGAGTGGTGGGGGCCCTACCGAGCCGGGGCCACCCGGGGGACCGCGGCGAGGCCCGCCGGAGCTCGCGTCTCCCCACGTGGCGGGCCCCACGTGGAAGGGGCGGAGGAGGAAGGAAAGCGAGGGCGGGTGGCGTCACCGCACCGGCTTCGGGACCCCCGCGCCTCCCCAGAGCCTCTAGGGTGGCGTGGGGTTGGGCCGGGGAGTGTCTGCCTTGCCCGGCCCCCTTGGCTGCCCGCTGCGCCAGTGTGCACTTTCGCGTAGCCGCTAATCCCTGGAGAGAGCCGATTTGTAGTGAGAAGTATCTGTAGGGGCGAGACCGGACCATGTGGGGTTGTGTCATTGGTTTGCAAAGAGAGACCCCGCCTTTGGAAAAAAAAAAGCGAGCGAACGGGGACCCTCACCTCGCCTCCCGCCTCGCTCCTGCGCAGCCAGAGGGCACCGGAGCAGCGGCCCGCGCCGCTTCCGTCCTTCCCTTTCCTTTTCTCTGCGCTTTCCTCCTCCTTCCCGGGAGGAGAAAACAAATAAAGAAGAGCAAATAGCCGGGAGGCGCTCGGCTTCTAGGACCTTCCCTCCCCGGATCCAAGTTGCAGCCAGCATCCTCTGGGGGGTGAGCGCGGCGCGGCGCGGGCCGGGGACCCCCAGCGCAGCCCCCGCCTGGCCGCGGGGCTGGCGAGAGGACGCGCGGCCGGGACGGGGGGGGGGTTGATTGGGAGCCGGTGGGCGGGGGAAGGGGGTGGGGTGGGTGGGGAAGTAGGAAGAGGCTCGGCGGTGACGGGAGGAGGAGGAAGGGAAGGGAAGGAAGGGAGGGAAGGGAAGGGAAAGGAAGGGAGGGGAGGGCGGGAGGGGGTGGGGCGCGGAGCTGGAGAGATTAAGTTTTTGTGTGTGTGTCTCTGTGTGCGTGTGTCATTTTAAGGTGGCTCGGGAGCTGACCAGAGGAGCCAGCGGCGGCCAGAGGAGCGGGAGACCAAGCTGGGAGCCATGCCGCGCTGAGGGGGGGCCCTCACCGCCAGCGCCACCACCACCACCGCCGCCGCCGGGTGGGGTGGGAGGGGCGGGAGCCGCCGCTACCGCCGCCGCCTCCCGGGTGGGCGCCCTTCTCCGTGGACGCCGGCGACCCAGGACGAGGTAAGGGGGGGGGGTCCTCGGGGAGGGCTGGGGCTGCTGCCGCCCCCGCCTCACCTGCGGCCGCTGGCTGGGGCGCCGTGCCCGCGCCTCACTGCGCCACTCCGGGAGGAGGAGGGCGAAGGACACCGGGCCAGCATCCGAGGACATCTTTGGTCAGCGCCCCCGGCCCCGTGTCCGCACGCCGCGCTCGGAGGTGGACGCCCGCCTGGGGGGGGGGATATTGCCCGCCGCCCCTCGCTACCGATTGCGCCTGCTGCCCGCCCTTTGCGCCAGGATTTTTGTTGTTGTGATGAGAGTTGATGAATGCGAAGTAGGCGGTCACCTTCCTTCCCATCAGGATTGGAAAAAAAAAAAGGAAAGAAAAACCCGGAGCGCAGCGGCGTCCGGAGGGCAGCGGCGGCGGCGTCTGGCGGCGGTTTCCTAGGCGCCCCCGGCTTGCTCCTGGAGCCCGGTGGGTACGCGCGCAGGGGCCGCTGGCGATCTTGGACGAGCGCGCGGCGCGCCGCGGGGACAATACGACCGGATCCCTGGGGACCAGGAGTCCGAGCATACCGGGGTGCGGCAGGCCTTGCGCCTATGAGGCGGGCGGGCGGGGGTGGGGGGAGGAGAGACCGGGGTCGGCGGGGACAAGTCGGGGCGCGCGTGGCTCTGGGCCCCTGGGGGCGCGGCCCCTGTCGGCCCGGGATCCCGCGCGGCTCCCCGAGAGTGTAAGTGAGAGGCCGAGAAGGAGGCGAAGCGGATCCCTTTTGTTTTGCCGGCCCGGCATTGTTGGCTCGTTGGGGCAGCCGGGGCCACATCTGCCGCCGCCGCCGCCAGTGGCGCGCGGGGCTCGGCCCGCCAAAGTCGCGGCGGGGCGGGGGGCCGGGGCGGGCTGCAAGGGCGGGGGCGGGCGGCGCGGGCATTTCCTCTGCCCGGCCGCGCTCCCGCGGGCACCACTTCCTCCTCGCCCTCCGCGGGCTGTCCTCGGCGCCCTCGTCCGGGCCGCACTTTTCGGGTGGGGCGAAGCAAAAAAGAAACTTTCGTAGAAGGGGCTGACTGGGGCGCGCCTTGGGCACCAGGCACCCAGCGTGGCGTGGGTACGGCCGGGCCGTCGCGGTCGTCTCCTGTTCATGGTTATGCTCCGTGGAGCCGGACCGACCTGCGGGAAGAGCCTTTCTTCTCCGCCTCGCGCCCTCCCCAGTGCCTCGGGCGACCGGGGCTAGGCAGCGCGGGAGTGCCGGCGCGCCCAGGCCTTGCTCCTGCGGGAGGCCCCGCGGCGTGGCCGGTCGCCTGCAGCCCATGCTGCGCCCAGGGGCTCGGAGGCCGCGGGCCCGAGAGCTTGGCGCGGTCACCGCGGGCACACACTCGCGCGCACACACTCCCTCCGGTGGCTTGCTTTCCGCTGGCGACGATGGTCGCGGACACCAAGGATGCGAGTGCGCGCGTGTTTGTGGTATCCCCCCCCAGCCCCCAGCCCGTACTTTTCCCAGAGGCGGTCCAAGCAGCAGTTGGTTCCAGGGAACCCCCACGTTTGGGGTTTTGTAGAGGAGCGGGGAAATAATTTATGAAATCTCTGCGTGCTTGGAGACTGCTGGCCTACGTTGCCACGCCAGGCTCCCCAGCCTATGGCAAACAGATCTTCCTAGATATTTGCCCTCTTTTTTTTTTTTTTTAAATCAGAAATGGGGGGGGTCTTCTTAGAGAGTCCTCGGTTGTGAGTGACTTGAAGGGTAGGTAAGAGAACTCGATACATTGGAAATTTAAAACGCTCAACACCTTTATTTGCGATTCTTTGGGATGTGAGCGTGTTTATCTGAGGTGGGTAATTTTTGAGGGAACATTGCATTGGGGTGGGGGGTTACAAAAGTGGTTCTGCTTTTTTTAAACTTTGTCGGCATGCATCAACTATGGGACCTCTTTTCGAAGGAGATGGATACCGCCTTCTCTCCTCGTGCTGGGTTCAAAGACAGTTTAGAATTACCTCGCGTTCGGCCTCTGGGGCTGCTGTTTGCCTTCAGATAGATTCTTAAAGAACTAGTTTCCATCTGCTTCTGAGAGTTCTGGTTTGAAACATTTTTCAAAAATACATCTTTTATATCTTGAGTAATGGGATTTTAAAAGGATCTTGCTTTTCCAATCACCTGATTTCAAACAGTACTTCCTAACAGCAATTACAAAGTAATATTTTAAATTCTAATTCAACATTTTTCAGCCCCAATAACTTTAATGAAAAAACAAGGTTTCCTTTTTAATTAACTAAATAGCAACTGTATCTTAAAGTTGAAACGTTGAATATCCTTTTGTCTGGCTCTGACACACTCCTGGAAAAACCCCCAGTGCCCTTTTTATAGCCCCCCAAAGAAAAGTTAATGAGCTAGTAGGTTTCAAGCAAGAAGCAGGTCCTCCCTCTTGCAAAATATGCTTATAGTCGCCATTGAAGTTGAATGTTAGCCGTGAATGTACTAGCCTTTAATGAAACCAGTTTAATCGTTCACAGTTGATCAAGTATAACATGACCAAACAAAGGAAATAAGCCAGCATATTTCTGTAGAGCATTGAAGGGTTTAGTGTAAGTGTTGATGTTGGGTCGCCCCTCCCCCACCCGCCCCAGTTCAAGAGAGAGAGAGGGTTGAAAGCTAGGGGGATTTATGACACTGATTGGTTTTTCTGTGCCCCAGGGGTTGGGGACCAGGGTACGTCTCTGTGGAAAGCAGCCATATTAGAGGGAATTTAAAAGATAGCAAGCAGGTTTGGAGCTAGTTCCAAACCTGACAAGGTGTGTTTTGGTTTCTTATTTGGGGGAAGATACCTAAGGTCAAGGAGTGTGTATATCCACCCTCCCTCCACACACACCTTGTAATGGCACGTTAATAAGGGGGAGTGGAGGGCAGTGCGGTGTGCCCTGCTGAGGGGACCTCACTACCACGTGAGTTATTTACGGTTTCACTTGGGAGCTTTGAAACTGGCCCTTGAATGGGTGTTCTTGTGGGGGAGGGGCAGGGTAAATTACCTTTTCTTCGCTGTGATTAAAAAAAAAAAAAGCCTTTGTCCCTCACATGCATTTCCTTGCTAAGCTTGAGTTGCAGTTTGTGTGGGATTTAGTCGTCAACTTAAGTGAAGAAATTGAAAAATGCAAGAGTGTCACTTCAGAGTTAAGAAAGTTAAAAAGTTTAGACAAAAAAAAAAACAAACACTGCCACTGTAAAAAAAAAAAAAAAAAAAAAAAACCAGCACCGGTGACATACTTTGTGAAATATTTTGGCCTTTTAAGACTCAGGCACACCTGTTCCTGTCCCCGCTGAGTGGTTTGCTTTCCCTGGCATTGTTAATGTGGCCCTTGTACACAAGATGAAACAGTAAAACTTGCTGGTGGAATAATTATTAACTACTCCATCCGTTACCCTTTCAGGGAATAATCAATAACTTCACTCTTGACTTGAAAAGCTCCAAACAGAAATTCTACTCCTGTACGTCTAGAAAGTGCTTTAAAGAAAAATTGAATTAGTGAAACACACAAGTGGCAGCAGCAAAAACTATGAAAACCTACACGTACCGTTTTTCCTTGTTCTGAGAAAGCAGTTGGTAAACGTTGGTATACTGAACCAGCAACGTGTTGAATTTAGACAAATATTGTCACTGGGGAGCTTTAAAGCAGTAAAGGAAAGTGAGTCCAGAATGGCTTGTTTTGTTAACCTTTTTTTTTTTTTTTTTTTTTTTTTTTTTTGAGACAAGGTCTCTACATAGCCCTGGGTGTTATACTGTTATGGAGGTCACTGTAGACCAGGCTTAGAACTCACAGGGAGACCTGCTGGCTTTTTCCTCCCACATCCTGGGATTAAAGGCTTGTGCCACCACACCCTGCCTTTCCTATTCTTATTATTGATTTTTTTTAAAGGACATCCAAAAGGACACCTTTCAGGGAGGGCTCCTGCTGCATTGTGGGGTGTGTGTGTCACCCTGGCATCATGAGTCATTTTCGAAGGCAAAGTTATCTCCCTCCCCTCCCCCATATTCAGTGCTTTTACTGAGTGGAAAAAGAATTTTTTTTTTTTTTTTGGAAAAAGAAATTTAAAGAGTTTACAGCATTGCTAGAATGGTGGCCCCAGCTGTCATTTTTTTTTTTTTAAACCACCGTCACTTCACAGAGGGACTGTCATGTATGTGAGTTCAGTCAGGGTCCCACTGGTAATTATCAGCTGACAGCAGAAGGCCAAGAGTCGCAGGTGCCTGGTGCAGGCCACATGGCAATGTAAGCATTCACACAGCACAGGGTTGGGAAGGGATACTGCCCATTGCTGGGTATAAACAACTCAGTTAAATTTCCATGTCCAGCTGATAACACACTTTTTTTTTTAGTCTTCTAAAAAGTATAGTGAGTTGGGCGGTGGTCGTGCACACCTTTAATCCCAGTACTGGACAGAGGCCGGTGGATCTCTGAGTCAGCCAGGTCCACGCCTGGAAACCCCCACTCCTACCAAAAAGAAAAAAAATACTGTACTTTGACCCTTTGCAAAGAAGTCCTTGTCTTTAATAGCGGTGACACCTTTTGGTGACATCTTGGGATATCTTACTAATTAATAGTCTTTCTATGAGCTAGTAGCTCAGGGATGCTCGGGAAGTTTGTGCTGAAAAGTTTTTGGGGTACAGGAATGCTTTGTGGGTGTGCAGGTGAGCATGTGTGTCCTTATTTACTTCAGCTGCGATTTCAAGTTACAGCCCCCCTTGGAAAGCAGGGGAAACTTGAGGCTTTCCCCATCCCTATCTTTTGAAGCTAATTTTTATCCCCGTCTGGATTTAATGGAATATGTGTCATAGAGCCATGAAAGGTTTTTTTTAAGCCCTATCTCCTCATTTAGAAAATTATATTTAATAATCGCCAAAAACTTCAGAGCCATTTTTAAAGGTTTTCAGTGGCTCTTTTGATCATGGTTTAATGAAGAGTATCCAAAAGCCAGCAGTGTGATGCTAATGATGGTCACAAATGACTGTTTGGGCCCAGTCTGGAGTTTGCTCTTAGATGTCATTATTAATGCTGAGGCCTAAATTATGGTTGCACTTGGGCATTCAGAACCTCTCCTATGAAAAGAAGGGCTGTGCTCATTGTGGAGAGGGGGGATTCACAGATGAATATAGAGTGTAGAGTGCGAGAGAGCCAGGCCATTGTTGGTGTGGAATGCTGACAATGGGAGCCAAGGGGCAGTTTTGCCTTCTGCAGGAGAAGGGAACGAGATGGGAACCAGCCTGGCATTCATCTGCCTTGGTCAGGCATGGAAATTTGGCCAGCTTCCCTTCCTGAGTTTTTCTTAGAAGGTGGTCCTACTGGACTCCTAGGGAATGCATGCTTTGGCTTCCTAGCAATCTGCATTCTTTTTTAGGAAAGATTACAAGAGCAAATAGAAGCGTTTCCAAGAAAAGCGTTAAGAATCCAAACTTCGTCTTCCCCCTCCCCTTTCAGATTTGGTATTAGGAGAACAATATATATATATATGCTAGACACTGAGGCCACTGACGTCCCAGGAAGGAGCTGTGTTTATTTTTAATTCCTCCCTGTGCCTTTAGGGACAGTCACTGTAGGGCCCGTTGGTAGCTCCTATTCTTTCTTTAAAGGTCTTCTTGCGTTCTTCATTTTCAAAGCCTTCCCTCCTCCCACTTCCATGTGGGGCCCATGATGGCTCAGGTGACAGGCATTCCTGGTACCTCGTAAAAGCCTCCATCCAAACTGTAATCGTGTGGGTAATTGTCTATTCCCAGGGCTGCTTCTATTTGGTGTTTAGCAATGCGCCGTCAGAACGTGGAGGCCCCTTGGCAGTTTCCATCCATACCTAACTAGGTCTCTAGTGGGTGCTTAGAAATGCCCTGCTTTAGCTGTGACCTAACTCAGATTGAACAGATGACTCCTAGAATGGACTGAAATGCCATAGAAATTGTGATAAAACGGTTGGCTTCTGACTGATGGGGCCAGCAGGCATGTTAGTTTTATAGGGAATTATGACTTCTGTCCTAAAGTAATAATAGCACTTTCTTTCCCCATCCCCCAAGCTAGTGCCTCAGTACCTGGTGCCTACATTTTTTGCCTTGGTCAGTGGCCAGGAGAAGCCCTGGTAAAGGGAGGGAGGTGCTTTTTATTCATTCTGCTTATAAAAATCCTTTTTACTTGTAAACTACAGAAGGAAATACACTTTATTTGCCCTATGTTATATTTTGGGGTCTTGGCTCATGTTGTAGCACAGGCTAGGCTTGAATTCATTCCTGGTCAGTGCCATGTAGTGTACCACCACACCTGGTTTATGTTGTTGGATTT